AAAGTTTCTTCGGAAAGAATTTTTACGGAAAATTAACGAACGAACGGAGACGTAACAATATCATTTAACTTCAATCGACTAAATTTTTGAAAGATATGATTTGCCTTTCAATGTTAATTACTGTTTTAATTTTTGGTTTAATAGAAAAATAGTTAATACTTGCTATTTATCATTTATTTTAATTTGCTTACTTTTTATGTTTAGTATTAACAACAATAACAAAAAAAAAAAACTTTTACAAATATTATGCAATGTACACCTGCTTGGAGGGAATTTGAATTTTGTTACATTTATGATTTAATCATCATTTAGTGAATTATAATACTTAACCGACCTAAAATGGCAACGATAACTAGCATTAATAAAGAACCTGGCGTTGACAAAGTTGTTATACTGGTAAGTACGAATTTTAATCATTATACCTAAATTTGTGTACGTTGTAATTTATTTAATTATGATAAGTGTGAGCCAATGCATGTGGGTTATCATAATTTTAACTATAAAGTATAATTACCTTCTTAATGGAAACCAACTCAGTGTAGAAAAGGATCTTGGTCACAAGTTGTTTTGCCTTTGGTAGATCATTCTCAAGCCTTCCAACAGTTCCACGGAGTGTGTTGTTACCAGTGGGAAAGCTTATAAGTTATAGGATTTTAGGTTGTATCTACATTAATAGTGAACACAAGTCAAAGTAGGTTGTCGTACATTTGTACATATTTATGGTTAGGCCTCATCTATATTTAGAGTATTGTTTTCACTTTTGGGCTATGTATTTAATGCTGTAAATATAAACAGGTTAAGATGGACAGTGAGTTGTTGGAAACTGGAAATGGTTCAAAGGAGGACTGCTACTACTAGTATTAGTAATATTACTAGTAGAATGATTTCTGGGATGGAAGGGCTTTCATATGAGAATAGGTTGAGATATTTAAAATTAAAATGAATTTGTCTTGGGAAAAAGGATTAGAATTTAAAGAGGGAACAGATTGAAGCATTCAAACTATGAAGGGTAGGGACAGGATTAATGCACCATCTTAATTTCGTGTATAGTGGTAAAAATGGTAGGACTATGGGACATAGACTCAAGATTTGGTAAAGTAGAACTTGGAAATAGAAATCGTGGCTTTGAATCCCTGTCCCACCAAACATACTCGGCCTTTCAGTCTTGGGGATGCTATAATGTGATGGTCAATCCCACTATTCGTTGGTAAAAGAGTGGCCCAAGAGCTGGCAGTGGGTGATGATGACCTTCCCTTAAGTTTTACACTTTTGAATTAGGGATGGCTAGTGCAGATAGCCCTTGTGTAGCTTTGCACGAAATTCAAACCAAACAAACAAACCTTCACTTCAATAAACAAAACTCAAATGCAATGGCTCTAATTGTTTAAATATTTATAAAGTTTTCTCTTAAACTCCATTACATTAATTGGATCTACCACATCTGAAATCAACCCATTTCCAAGGCCAACAATCCTGTTAGAAAAGTAAAACTGTCTGAAGCTAAAAATGACTCCTACCCTACCAAAACTTGTCCCACTATCTTACCATTCTCACCATTAAATACAAAATAGAAAATATTATGCATAAATACTCTTAATAATCTTTAAAACCATAATCAGATCTCCTGTGACTTTTTTTTTGTTTGAAGAAAAAATAATTTTGGAGATCATAATCTGTTCTTGTAAAACAATCTTTTTATCTTGGGTATAATCTTAGTAGTAGCAGTCTTTCTTTGAATCCTTTATAACAATTCAATGACCTTATTAGGGTAAAGATTTCAAGACTGAACACAATTCTCTAAATCTAAATAAGGCCTAACCCAGTGACCCACACAATAAAAATATTTGAATTCAATATTTTTGTAAATACAAAACAAATCTGTATTTTATCTGTCACAAGCAATAACATACTGCTTTGGACAATTTAATAGTCTGTTCAACCAAAACACCAATATTCTTTTGTTACATGTACTGTTATGGTGATTCCCATCAAAAATATTCGTTGAGTTTAAATTATGAGAACCAACATATTTTACTATAATTAAAAGTCATCTGCCAGTTACTTGCCAACTTTCCAAATGATCTGAATCTTTTTGTAAAGGAACAGCATCCTCTAACTTCCAGTAACACACAAAACCTTGGTATGGTCAGCAAGTATAACTTGTAAGCAGTATAATTAGTTATAATTTATATCTAACATAAATAACATAACATTTAAGGACACCAAGGGGCTTGTTGGTTCATTGAGACTGTTGTAGCTACTGAACTAAACCAAACCAAAAACATTCCTCAAAACCATCTCTTATCATTTAAATTATTCTCAACCTTTCCTCTAAACTCCCTTTCATTTAGTGCATCTACCACATATGAAGGTAACCCATTTCAAAGGTCAACCATCCTGTTAGATAAATAAGTGTATTATCTTGCCAAAATATATATTTATGTCCCCATGTCCTACAATTCTTACTATTAAGTATGAAAAAAGATGATACATCAACACTGTCTATTTCTATTAACAATCTTAAAACCTCGTATCAAGTAATGTAGAATTTAAGATTTAAACCTTATGGATAAATTTTAATTTTGTTATTGATGGTAATAAACACTAAATATGTACATTCCAGTATTCATAAAATGGCATAGCCTTTCATGTAAAACATATTCATTTCTGCAAGTCTTCCATGGAAATTAGGTAAAATTTTCTGAGGAAAAAATATTTCTATCACTAGCAAAAGCATACTACTTGAATGGTTGTAGAGATTGATCAACCAAAACATCGAGACCCTTTTCTTTCATAACACATTTAAAGTTATACGAATCAAAATGATAGTTTGAATTATGATAATCAACATGTATTATATTACACTTACCATGATTATTAGTTGTTTATTCATCCAACTCACTAAATCTAAGAATTTTGTAAAGCAATGGTATTGTAATCACAACTAACAACATTCAAGACCTTAATGTCCTCAGGTTTAAACAGTTTATTGATCATCCTTCATCTATGCCATTGATTCAGATCAAAAGAGCAAATGTCCTAACACAGCACCACTTGTGTCATTAATCCAGTTTGACTGAACTCTACTCATAATAATTCTTTGTTCTCATTCAATTATCTTTCAATCCATTGAGCCACTTATTCCCCATACCAATAAAGAGAATTTTTAACAAGCTTTTTGTGTGTCCTTCCACACTGATTTATGAAAATCCATATACAACAGATCAACACATATACCCTCATCAAAGTATATCAAAAGATTAACAAGACAAAACTTTACCCTAATGAAATTATGTTGACTATCCAAGAAAAGTTTAAACTTTTCTAAATTATTTTGCAAATATTTTGTATCAGCTTTTCAAGAATGTTTCCCACCACTGATGTAATAGGTCTGTAATTATCTAGAAAATTCTCACTTGACTTGAAGAGAAGACTTACATTAGCCAGCTTCAGTCTTCTGGCATCAGCTCACGATTCAATAATTCAGTGTTCTCACTAGGATCCCACAGTGAAAGGTTCTGGACTCTCAACTTTTTCAAGAGTCCTAGTGAGATTTTCATGGGTCCCATAGGTAGAATTTAATAAACTCAAATAAAAAGAGGAAAAATGCACCTCAATGTCAATGTAAAACTTTATTCACAATGTACATTCATGATAAGATTAAAAATACTTTCCTTCCTCTAATAATTTTCAAATATCATTTGCATAAACAAAAAACCTCCTAAATAAATATCAAATCTTTTTTTTTTTCAGAAAAACTTTATATTTTATCTGTTATTTTCTTTATCCTAACTGTATATGAGATCAGTTGATTTGACTGACCTCGTAACCACCATAAAAAATTAGGAAATAATTATAAATTTCCTCTATTTTTTTCTGGAATGACTGTAAATTATAACAGAAAACAGCTGTTTATTCTAATTAGCTTAAAACTTGTAACAGCAATATACATCTATTTATACTTAAATTTTATTGTTTTATTGCCCGTTGAACTGTGTCCAATTACTATTCATGCCATATAAATTGCAAATCATGTGGTGAATGTGCAGCTAATATTACAGTATCGAATAACATAATGCACAGGCTACACGTGAGCATACCTCATAACAAAAAATTTTTCTCATTAATATTATTATTTATTTTACTTCATCTAATCTAAAAAGTTTGCAATTTTTACATTTTAGTTACTTTTATAATAATAACTATAGAATACACATGAAAAACAAGAAATATAGTACTTACCCGGGTCTTCTTTTTGCTATCGACTGTCGATGAAACCTTCACCTTACTTCTTTACACTAATTGTACTACTGCATTATATGATTTCTATGTAATTAAGTAATGCACCAAATAACACAAAATAATGGTATGCAAAAAGGAAACAATGATCCATAACTATCACAATTTTTCTGACTTTCCAACTGTGCAACAAAAGTTGTTAAAAATTCAGGTAAGCTCATCGATGTGTTTCCTGTTGGAATAAAGTTTGAACTGGAGGGAAAATAGACAATGCTAACATAATATAATATGTCATTTGATAGAAAAAACTTTGGCTGTCTATTTGTTATAAATAATATATTTTTAAATGTCAGAGAGAATTATTGGCAAGTTCTGAAAGAGAGGATGTGGCAGGTGGGTGTGACAAGAGGGGTCTGATTTTCTATTTTAATACTTTGTAACTAAATAAGATTGAAGGCTATGTAAATTATGCTTTGCCTGAATGATGAAAACATTATCAAGAGTACTTTGCATTAAATTTTGTACTTCTCAGAGGGGTCTTAAAAAAATTAAAGAGAGGGAAGACAAATAACACAGTTCTCATACTAGGAAAGATTGAGAATTTGTATAAATATTTCCTTATAAAATTAAGAACTTAAAACTTAAATAATACTAAACTTTGAGTTATTATGTATGTTCTTATGCTGAGTTTATTCATATACAGGTATAATAAAATTTGAATATAACTCTGTGAAAGTATGTAACACATGCACTTTGACATAACCGAGGTGACAGGGTTAATAATGTGGTACTTTTGCATGGTTTTTTATTTGTACAATTTATTGTCATTGATGAAACCTGTTAGAAGTTGATTGTGGACAGCTGTGTACAAACTGTATGCTGTTTAGTTTGTTATGATACAATGTTTGAAGCATAGTACTTGTGCTTTCCTTGTGTATGGGGCATTTTACAATGCATACTCATACATGGGGGCCAAATCTCCTGCATCCTGACAAATTCTAGTGCATACGGAAACTGGAAGTTCGGGTTAACTAGAACCCTGTAATTTACAAAAAATAACAGCAAGTGGTTCACATGTCCAATACATAACTGCTTTCAAAACCTTTGGGTAAATATTATCTGGTCCAGGAGTCTTATCATTCTTTAAACTTACCAAT